CAGTTTTTTTTGGGGTTTTTTTTACCACATGCAACAAGGACAAACGACACTAAGACTCACCACCCCACACTTAGGATGGAACATTGTCCCTAATGTTCAACTCCTAATCTAAACATGCACGGGTTTGACACAACGAAAAAGAAAAATAAAGAAAAGAAAACTTACCTTGGGTTGCCTCCCAAGAAGCGCTTGTTTAACGTCCCCAGCCTGACGTTTATGGAGCTTTCAACCAATGGGTATGGAAAGGTATCCAGCATACCCTCCCGAGCAATGATAGAACGCATAACCTCCATCCAACATATGAGTCACCTCTGCAGGGCCTGGTGTGCGAAAATTTGGTATGACCTTCTTAGTTGGCATGTTGGATCCTTTAGTGAGGCGTAGGTGGTATTGCAGCGCCTCAAGCAAGTACTCTTCATGTTTCAATGTCAGTGAAGAAGGAATAATAACAGGAAGATTGAAATCCTTACCCAAATATCTATACTTGAGGTGCCCTGGCAAGGATTTCTGCCCTTGCTTTGATTTCAGAATCTAAGCTGATAGGACATGTGATCGTTATTCTGGTGGTCTACTATCACAAGAGGAGGAATTTTTCCTTTCTCGACCTCCACTTTCAAAGTCATCCAATGCATCGTGATTATGATCAACTTGAAAGACATTAAAAGATTCCTCCTCCCTCACGTGTGTCCAATTCTCTCCAAAATAATGGCCCAACTCCTTGCAATTATTCCTCTCCACAAGCAAATTCCGTTTCTACAGAGAAGTGTCCAATCTCTCTCCTGCGCCCTAGGTGTCCAATTAAATTGGCCCAAGGAATTCCCAAAGAAAAGTCCACCGCCAGCAAAAGGAGCCCAGTCGAATGGGCTTTGGCCCATTTCATTAAGCCCATCCAGCTGGGCTTTGAGCCCAGCTTCGACATTCGAGAATTGTTTGCCGGTGCAACTTCTTTTCGTGTTTTCTTCACCTGTAATACATCAAACTCATGGCACTAGACAGTAATGGTTTTTCAACCATTCTCAGGTTAGCGAGCCCTAAAATAGCACCAATTGGCTAAAACATACCACGGATAATCACATAAAGTCCAAGAATTCAATACGTTAAAGCCGATTATTAGTCACATAATAGCACCAGATTCTATCTAGGAAGGCTACTTATAGCAGGGGTTTGGTCGTCTCGACCACCATAGGTCCCTATTCATACATCTATCTTGATTTGCTTGATGGCGCATACCCGTCTAACACTAGAACTCCATACCCTAGAAACATCAAGTAGGCTAATAGAGAATATTAGGGCGACTTACCCAAACACAATCAAAGATAGAATAGCAATAGAATCAACTAGATAAACACATTCATTCATTCAAACCCTAAAATACCCATACATACATAGTAAACCCCAAAACTAGGGGTTGAGTTTTAGAACCCCTAGTACCTTAGAGGACTGCTCCATAAAGGAGGGAAGAAGATAGATAGAAGAAATTGAAGAAGACTTGAGGTTGAGGAAGATGTCTCCTCTCTTCTACCTCCTTCTCCTTCTTCTCCTCTTCTCCTACCTTCAGCTTCTCTCACTCTCTCTAAAACCAGAATTCTTCTCTCAAAATCAACTCCTCTAAAAGGGTGAAATGAGTCTCCTATTTATAGGCAATCAGAGGTCGGACAAGTTCGCGGCCAGAAGAATAGAGATTGCCACGGGATCTTCAGAGGAGGTCGAGTTGGCCTTCGTGATTGAGGAGATCGCGGACTGACTTTGACTGGGGAAACCCTCTGTTTCTCCTCGTCTCCTTCTTAGTGAATTTCGTGCTCTGAGCCCTCCAATTCGCGGTTGGGATGTTGGGCTACTAGGCCGTGATCTTCAGCTTGTTTTCGCGGTCTAAGATCTCGTCCATGATCTTTACTTCTAGGCCACGATCTCCAGTCTTCTTCCCCCTTGCTACACTTGTGGCCTTGTTTTGTACCTAATTCGCATATATCGTCTTACACACCCTAAAATCACATCCAATTCAAATAGGAACGGAATAGAGATGCAATTGACGATCTGCTTTCCATCCAACTCGCTGCTAAATTGTAAAACAATCGATCTGATTAAATTGGGTTGAATTCGATGGTGATGCGTTTTGGTTCATAGAGTTAAATGAACCCAACTAAACTCGGTGTTGTTGAATTTTCAGTCGAGAGTGTCGGGGTGATTACCAGGTGACCATTCGTTACTAAATAAAACTTTGGGGGTCTTTTTAAATTTTTTGTTTGCTTTTGTTTCTTTAACTCTTCCCTGGCACACAAACTTCTTCTTTCCTCTCCATTCTTATCCCTTCATTTCTATCTTCCACTCTCCTCTTTCTCCATTTGTGGGGATCTACTTTCTCTCTCCACAAACAAGGAAGAAGGAGTCAGAAGGCGAATACGAAGTGATTTTATTCTACGATTCTCCGGATGGAGGACGAGAGGATAGAGACAGTAAGCTCTTGAAGCAAAAGCGAGGATACAAATGCCCAACGGAGTCGCAAATTGATTTCCCCTACTCCAACTTTCCTGAACATCAGATCCTTCCTACTTCTCCTACTTTCGGACCAGTTCGAGCCAACCACCAGTGATCACAATTTCACTGTAAACCTAATGTCCTTCCGATTAACAACAAATAACCCAAAACCGGTTGCTCGCCCTTGAACTACTTGGTCACAACTAACACCAGTACTTACTCTTTTAGTCTCTCATGCAGTTCCTTATTCTTTCTGTGATTGTTTTGTCATGCCCAGGTCTCAATCCAGTTCCATGTTGCATGCCTCCTCTAATTCGATGTAGGTGAACCTTGCTGCATAATGGACAACAGAAGAAATAATGGCATGTCTCTGCAAATTTTAATGTAATCTGCATCTCATAGATCTTCAATATGAAGCTCTTAATGTAGTCCTTATAGTTGGTGCCTTTTCCTAGGATCTCAATTCACCTGTTATGGTTCTTTAATGTTTTGTGGTTTTATTTGTTGATTGGTTCTCTCTTTGAAATGTTGCATTTTACAGCTTGGGAACAAGCTAGGAAGAGGACACGAGCGTCCAGGGATAGCACACTTATGCCACCAGCTTTATGGGATGCAATGAAAAAGTTTTATGATATCAATGCACATGGAGTATTTGACATTTTGCAAGCATGTACTATTCCCTATATAACTATGATAATATTAAGGGTATCTATGCATATAGAACTGTACTGAGATTTGTACATGACAAAAGGTTTCAACTTTATGATGTCTCATGGCATGTATTAGAAGTTTGCCCACTCAATTTATACTATTGATAAATGAAGCTCCAAAGTTGTAAGGTTTAGCATAAACTATAGTTGAAGTAACAATGAGAAAGATAGGCTTAACATTATAATGCATCAAGGGTTGTTTGTTTCATTAGTTTACATTTTTTTTTATGGCCTACTGATATATAATGCGATACATATTACAACTAACCAGCCGTCGCGAATCGCATACTTTCTTTACTAGCACTCTTTAAAGTTTAAACCCTCTTCAGCTTGCTCTCGCTGGGCCACTTATGCAAGCTTATGTCTTCAGTGGGCTTAGCATAATTGAGCCCATCAAAAAGAAACAAAAGAAAGAATTGATTCCCAAAAAATGTCATTGTATTCTTCTTATTTTTTCATTATTTTTTCACTGACAAAGTCAAATCCCTCAAGGAATTCTGATCCCAGCCGATTTCACTTTTAACAAAGGCTATTTGTGCAGATAATACTAAATTTGGGCCGCCTGTTGGATAGTTACATTTTATTGATAAAAATTATTCGAACCAAACATACATTTTTATATGGTATGATAAAGGCATCCAAATAATTTAGTTGTTGAAAAGATAAAAATTAACACACATACATCATAGAGTTTTCTGTTGGAATGACAAAAATATCCTTAATCATGTTTATACGTCCGAATCCGACCTAAACCCCGAACCCGAAAGGTTTTTAGTGGGTACAGGTAAAACTTGAACCCGAATATTGTGGATGATGAGTGGACATGGTTTTCTCACCATCCAACCCAAACTCGCTCGATTATACACGTGCATATGTATTTTAATTTATCTAGAAATAATCATTATTTTCTTAACATATTTTATATTTAGCAATTAGCATATAAATATATTACTTTCATAAAATTGTGTTGTTTTAATGAATTTTCTTGCCAAAGGTAACACAGCCGAGTTGGTCGGGAGTGTGGTCTTTCGGGCTTGAGAAGTGTGAGGTCACATGTTCGAACCCCCCTACACCACTTGGTGTTCCCGGAGGCACCGCGAGTTCTGGAGACGAAGTTCATGGATGCGCCTGCACGGACATGTTGGCTTGCTCTGAGGGATGCTGTTCGGTCGACAACGTTCTTGTCTGCTTTGTTGGAATTTTTCAGGTGGGCATGTGCTCAAAATTTCTTATGTTGTTCCCCCCTATATGGTAAATATGATCTCGTTATAGTTTGTGTTGGATGGTGCTAGAGTGTGATGCCTGCATCGAAAAGTTGCCGTCAGAGACCACAAGTTGTTGTACTGGGTGGCGGGTGGACTATCGGCACTCTCTGTACTATTTGAGAAAAAGTCTAGACGTGCAGAACTTGCACTGTATGTCCTTCCTCGTTCTGGAGATTCATTGTGGTACATCTTAGTTAACCGCCACCTACTTCCTAAGCTAAAGAATGCTGAGGAAATTGTGATATAGCTCGCCTGTGTTGTGTTTTCATCCAGTTAGAAAAAATAGTTTACTTGAATCAAATTGTTTGAACATGAACACTGGTCTCTCTTACATGTCATCTTTCACCTTACAATCGAGAGATAGATGAGACGAAGGAGGCCAACCATTGAGAGGAGTTTGCTGCATTTTTCTTATGGTCTGTTAGCTGCACATTCATTCACCCATGGAAGTGATTATCTTGGTAATGCAGAATTTGCTATAGCTGATCAAAACATACTGGGTTTGTAATGAATGCAGGTAGCACTGTTTTGCGCTTGCATGGGAGGAATTATGTATTACTTGGAATACGAGCCAGACACAATGGCTCCCTTCCTAAGGGGTTTAATCCGACGCTTTTTAGCTAGCAGAATCAGCAGTCCAAGCACTTCACCTCATCCCCGTACATCATCATCGTACACCTATTTGCAGGCTCTTGATTCAACCAAGAAGTCGAAGTCCCAGGACGGCAAAGAAGTTGAAGCCTCTCAACCACCAGAAAGTCTCTGGCGGCAATCGGTTCATTCTTTCTACAATTCAACGAGTTAAAAAAACCCATTTTGTAACGGAGGCAGATTAGGATTTCTGCTTCAACCACCCATTTCACTTTCATCCAGATACTGTTTTAACCCTTTTCCCCGGCTAAAAATTATTCTCCAATCCTCACAATAACAAATTTTCATTTGATGAAGAGAAACTGGAAAAGACACTACCGCAATAATGGGCAGGCAGGTTAAGGATAAACCGTGTCGAGGTTGTATTGAAAAAGTCAAAATTGTGATTTAATCGTGGTTAACCTCTTCATATTACTAAAAACTATCTATTAAGTTTGGGCAAGACGCTCTTCAGGTTGGATTGTGTTATGATTTTGTATGTAAATATTTCTCTATGGGGTTGAAATTTGAAGAGTTAACAAAAGAGCTTTTATGAATTCATTATTCTCCCTTTTTAGGGTTATCAGTATAATATGTCCCTTTTCTGTGCAATTTTATCAAACATGTCTATTTACTATTTTTTATATCAAACACTAGTATAGAAGCCCTCGCTACGCTGCGGGTGAATAAAGCTATTGAGAAAGTGGTCTTCTATAACTAAATCAAAAACTGGAACCTGCCTTGTCAAAAATCCAAATTGACAGCAAAATATGCGATTGACAAATTATATATAAATCAGAAAACCACACACTATGTTCCTTACAATAAAGTGCACACACATTAAGAGTTTGTCCCTTATCTATAAGAATTGGCTTACGTATTTAGGCCCTGCAAAAAATAAGAAGAGAAAGCAGCAAAGCATGTATTTGGGGTTCCAAATGACTTCTCAATCTGCACCAGCTGTGTGAACATGTTTAACTTGGATGTTGGACCTCTACCCTTTTGAACTCTTGCAAGGGATTAGGATAGTGTCAATTGTCCAATCATCTCATCCACTGTGTTATGAATTAAAGATCGTTATTTACATACATCATATATTTGTAGAGATCATCTTATCCACTCATATATACCTGGTCTATCAAGCTCTCTGCAGTATGTGTTTGTGCATGATTTGCTGAAGCTTCAGATGCAGCTGATCAGATTGTATGCAGACATGTGAACGTCAGGTGTGTTAGCAGCGTCGAGCGCGAGACGCCTTCTTCTCGATCTGGTGATTTTGTTCCTGTGAACCCTAAATTCCCTTTTGGGGAGATCGAATGAGAATGAAAAATAAAGTTGCTGAATCGCAAACAGAGTTGAACCAAATTCGTGTAAGTGTTAGTAGACTGAGAGATCACTCTCTTTTAGTTGGGCTCGAATGCACAGGCCCACTCAATTGTTGGCCTGCCCAACTCTTCTTATTAGTGAAACGGATCGTTTCAAATTTACTCTACTCGCGACCTTCTTCTTCCTTTGCAAGCGTCTGAGTTTTCAGAGCAGACTTGAGCTCCCCTGTGCCTGCAAAACAGAGAAGCAAACCAAACAGAGATATTATACTGAAGTAAAAGACACAAGCTCAGTTTTTACGTGGTTTCCAGTATTGGGAGAAAATGAATCCCAATACTGACTACTCCACGGTTGGAGAATCACGATTTGTGACTTCCAACGATCCACTAGATATGTCGCTCTTGATATGTTGACAGTTATGCGTTCTATGAGATCACCCAAACCAATCCTGGATGGATGACCACGATTTCTCTCTATGAACCCAATCCCAAGCTATCCAGCTTCTGTGTTTTCCAACACCTCTTTTCCCTAACACTGTTTCACTCCTGAATCAATGCTAGAACCCCCTTTTCACTATCAATTACACTCGCTATCACTCTAACGTTTCCTGTGTAACTTGATCTCTTGAAAAGTGTGTTCTTCTTGATCTGGAGCTGAGTATTTGTACTCCTTGCAGGTTAGCCGTTGTCTTCCAAGTATAGTAGGTCTTTTCTTTTGAATTCTTTCCTGGAACTCCTTGTCTCAATCACTCCTTCCGATTTTCCAAATCTGCTTTCCCCTTGTTCATATTTCTTTCCAAATGCTGCTCCACCTACGATCTCTTTTCTTGATTTAAGATTATTGACTGGCTTGATTTGTCAACAATCTCCCCCTAAGACAGTCAATGATCCTCTGAGCTGCTGATGGAGTTCCTGCACACACTTCAACACACGGTTACGTGCAGACTGTTCTAAACACAGACTTTGCTTAAGTATATCACCTTAATTGACAATCCAAGCCGAGACAAGTTTATTGATAGTTGAAACAGAATTGTTGAAACAAAGACTCAAAACACTCTAGACTCGTACTTTGAAAAATAACAATGACATGAGCCCTGGCAGGGCGTTTATTCAACCTTGACGCTAAGACACCTACGAAAGACACACTACCCGGCCTGCTTTCTGACTCCCCCTCAGTTCAATATTCCTTCTAAAACGAGAACCTAGGTGACGGCACATAGTCTGATATGGTATCATCATCCTCAATCATCAGTCCCCTATTGCTACTACTAGCTTCCTCCTGTCTGAACATAGCTCGAACAGCCTCCAGTGGGTCCATCATTGGTCGCTTCCCATTGTCTCTCACGACTCTGTCTGCCATGTCTGTATCAGGTTCCTCCGCTGCTTCATCCCCTCCAAGCTCAGACAAACTGAGTCCGTCCTGACGCGAGAGAACTCCAGCAGTTGCTGCTTCTCCCCCTGGAGCATTGACTCGGGGGCCACGACGACCAACAGAGGCATCCACCTTACGAAGGACGAATTGGGCACGAAGAGATCCAAGAATATCAACACGAGCCACCTTAAAGCGAAGATCTATTCCTAAGGCCAGCAAGATTTGAGTAATCTGTGGTGCAAAGGGTAGATCAGCAGCATAGTTATCAGCATGGAAGTTCAACATGTGATCGAACATGAGATGGGGATAGCTGATAACCCGGTTTTCTTTGGCACTAGCCATGATCCAGAGATCAGAGGGATAGATAGTGTTGAGCCCAAACGACCGAGGCAGAAAACATCGAGTTATGTAGAAGTGCATCACTTTAAGATCATCTGGGAGTCGCCCAGCATGAAACTCAGAAGGATAGTAGCGACCAGTGTCGCGAGTATACAATCGCATAGCATCTCCTTCATTGAAATCGACTGAATGAAAGTCTGATTCATTCATGACTTCAGCTCCCGCAATGGGAATTCCAAGCAGCAGAGATAGTAATTCCACATTGATGGTGATCAGATAGTTGTATACTATCGTTGTAAAGCACGGGGGAGAGATATGAAGACACGGCTTCATATTGGCATAAAACATTCGAACTGCCTCAGGTCGGAACCCAAAATTGCGATTTGGAAGGATATCCCCCCATCCAATAGTGCTGATTAGGCGTGGAACATCCATCCCATACCTATTGAATCTGGAGGGATCAAGAGTGATAGATGGAAGCAGGGTACGATCTTGAAAGTGATGAAGATAGCGAGCATATCCCGCTGCATCTTCAAAGCCCTTGCCATTGAAAATGGCGGCTTGAGCTAGGCGAAGAGAGGCTATGTGTTGGTTTGGGGCAGCCATGAGAGCTTTTAGATTGCAGACAGTAGATGTGGACTAGGTTGCGAGTCTGTTCTGCTTTTAAGTTGCAAGAGTGAGTTTATTCAGGGAAGGTCAGACTGAATAAGGAATCAAAGAAACTTGATCCGGAAGAATTCCAGGAATCGTGGGAAGAGTTATTGAGGAAGGTATATTAGTTCACTGATTTAGGGAAAACTTGATCCTAAGTTCTCTAAGGAATCGAGACAAAGAAGGTAACTCAGATCAACTAGATACTTTCTAGTGCAAGGTCGACAGGTGAGCTAGATCGTGTAATGTGAATAACCCTAATTCACGACGGATGCGAATGAAGGATTCTGAGCTCAAGGGCTTGGTGAATATATCAGCCCATTGACATGAAGTTGGAACAAATTCTAGTCCTATTTGCCCTTCTTCTACCAGATCTCGAATAAAATGATAGCGAATATCAATATGTTTTGTTCGAGAATGTTGCACAGGGTTTTTGGTCATATTGATTGAGCTTGTGTTGTCACACAGCACAGGTACAGTACTAGGGAGCAGACCATAGTCCTGAAGCTGATGCTTCATCCAGAGAATCTGAGTACAGCAGCAGCCTGCTGCAACGTACTCAGCTTCTGCTGTTGACAAGGCGACAGAATTTTGCTTCTTACTGAACCATGATACCAAAGAGGTACCTAGGAACTGACAGGTTCCTGAAGTACTCTTTCTGTCTACCACACACCCCGCATAATCTGCATCAGAGTAGCCTAGGAGCTCTAAACTCGATTCATGAGAGTACCACAACCCGAGATCAGAAGTACCACTCAAGTATCTAAAGATTCGTTTAACTGCACTCAAATGACTCTGTTTAGGTGAACTTTGAAATCTAGCACAAACACAAACACTGTACATAATGTCAGGTCGACTAGCAGTTAGGTACAGCAGGGACCCTATCATACCTCTGAATAATCTATCATTAACTGGAATTCCAGAATCATCCTTATCAAGCTTAGTGTTTGCTGCCATGGGGGTTACAGCAGACTTTAAATTACCTAAATCAAACCGTTTCAACATGTTTTGAATATATTTGGTTTGACAGATGAAAATTCCAGCAGGCGTTTGTTTTATTTGAAGACCTAGAAAGAAATTCAATTCCCCCATTAAACTCATCTCGAAGGCACTCTTCATTTTTACTTCAAATTCTTTGCACAGTTTTTCACTTGATGACCCGAAAATAATATCATCTACGTACACTTGAACTAGCAGAATGTGTTCCTCATCATGTTTAATAAATAATGTTTTGTCCACTTTGCCTCTTCTAAAGCCATTTTCCAACAAGAAGGAACTTAATTTATCATACCAGGCTCTAGGAGCCTGTTTTAACCCATACAAAGCCTTTTTTAACTTATATACATGATTAGGATAACTGTGGTTTTCAAAACCTGGGGGTTGTGACACATAAACCTCTTCCTTTAGATCTCCATTCAGAAAAGCACTTTTCACATCCATCTGAAATAGTTTAAATCCTTTTGAACTAGCAAATGCACAAAGCATACG